GACCCCCCTCCTCCTCCTCCGTGCCCTCCCCTCCCCCTCTCCCGCTTCTCCTCCTCCTGTCCCCATCCCCCCTCCTCCCCTCCTCCTCTCCCACCGCCCCCTCCTCCCCTTTCTCCCGCCTCATTAGGCGCGGCCGCGGCGCGGGGCCCATTAGCGGATCAATTAGCCGAGGTCGCTGGCGGCGCGTCGTTAAGCGCGGGAGGCCGCGGGGGGAGGGGCTCCGGAGATGGCACCTCCGCTCGCCGGCTTCCCGGCCGAGATCGCGTAGCCCTAGGACCCTCTCGTCACCCGCCCCCCGCGGGCTCCACGACCCTCGCTAAAGCCTGGGGGGACTCAGCCCCGTGGGCAGGATGGGGGGGGTCGATGGGGGGGCTCTGAGGCCCAGAGGAAAAGCCGAGGTCGCAGACCTGTCCTTGGCTGGGAAGGACCCCACATTCCTTGGAGAAGACCCCTGGGTGGGGGCTGTAGGATTTGTGACCCACGGCCCCCCACGGCGCTCTTCATCGGCCAGCAGCATCAGTAATAATAATATCCGCTGACAGCTCCTGAGCCCTTGTAAGCTTTCTGCTAATTCTGGGAACAGTTTCCCAGAAACTGAGATCAGACAAGTGACTTCATGCCTCAAATCACTACTTCGGGTAGGAGAACAGCACAAACTCAGGTCTGCCCTCAATAAATTTGCTAACATGTATTGGGCGGCTTCTATGTGCAAATTTAAAAAAATAATGCAATTGATAATCTCCCTCGCTTCTCACTTCGGCCCTATCCACAAGCCTGCTGATACATTTTATATTTTCCTACTTGTTTACTGCTTCCACAAGGACAAGGATTTGGGTCTGTTTTGCTCCCTGCTGTGTCCCTGGGGCTCCCAGTTGGGTCTCAGTAAATGAAGGGGTGAATGTACCAGGCTCTGCCCTAAGCACCTTTCAGCGGGGAGGTGTCACTCCCCTGCTTTGGGGGAGGGTCGGGGAAGCTGGGTGGGAAAGCAAGCAACTTTGTGCCAGGTTCAGGGGAACAGCTGTGCAAGGGCCTCTGGGCAGGGAGCAGCGTTTCCACCCGGCTGCAGCCTGCTAAAGTCTGCAGCCTGCTAACTTAGAAAGTATTTCAGATTATTTTTTAAAATACTTTTTTTTTTTCTAAATTGTGAAACATAACACAAAAGAGCACAGGGATTGTAAGTGAACAATTGGATGAATTATCGCCAAGTGAGCACACTCAGGTAAGAAACGCGTTCGAAAACCCTCCCCTCCCCCCAAGGGTAAGCCAATGACGTCAGAAGCTCTAGGTCGCTCGGGCCTGGTTTTGTTCTTTATGTAGATGGAATCACACGCATTCACTCCGTTGTTTGGCGGTGTGAGGTGCACCGCGTTGCGTTGAGTATAGAATAGCAGTGACCCTATTTTCAAGGCTGTGTAGCATTCCCAGGACGTGACTGTCACAACTTATCCCTTCTGCCGGGCAGTGGTGATGACAGGTCTTGAACACTCTCGTCTTTTTGGGTGGACTCAAGTGGCATGTCTGTGCCAACCACCTTCTGAATATGTAATGACTGACGCTCTCCGCGTTGGGTGAGCTCGGGTTTTCAACACAGGCATAAGCATTAAGCGGGGAATGACCCCATCACACTGGTGGCTTCTAGAGGCGCGTTGGCTGCAGTAGGGAAGTGGGGGACTCAGCAGGAGACGGGTGACCACCCGGTCCCCTCTCGGTTTCCTCTTTCTCTCCTTAGGGATGTGAGACATTTTCCTTGAGGCCAGTGGGCCATCACCAACCCTGCCTCTGTCCCGTCTGTGCCCTTGGCCCGCCATGGGAACCCATTGCATTGGAAAAGCATGTATTTCTTGCACTTCAAAAGTCCCCTGGGTGCTTCAGCTCCTTGAGGGCAAGATCTGTCATGGGTGTCTGGCACCTACCAGCCCCAAATCCTGGATGGACAGCCTGAGGCACCCTTGGTCTGAGTGTCGGGTATACCAGGGGTGGGGAGGCTCTCCTTTCCTTCTGGCTCCCCCCTGGGGTGATCCAGGTTGGGCATGGCAGGGAGGGGGGCCTTCAAGCTGGTCCTTGGAGGGTTGAGGTTCAGCTGGGGGAGTGTGTTCTCTGACGTAGGAAAGGGTCCTTGTATGTGCACGCGTGCACGTGTGCATGCAGCGGGGTATGATCTGCAGTCTCTATATCTTCTGTCTTTAAGGGAAAAGAATGTCACTTGAGGGCCCTCTGGCCTGGGGCTCAGAAACCAGCTTCGCTAACCTCCTCCAGCGCCTGGGCTGTGCTGCGTGACCCACGGCCTCCAGCTGACCCTCTCTGGTCTACACATCAAGTCTGGCAGATGGACTACGCTTACAAGACGAACTCACCTAGGCCTCTCAACATGCCGTCCCGTCCTGTGTCCTGTCACAGAGGAGGGAGCCCAGACATGAAAGGAGTCCCCTCCTCCCCAGAAAGGGGGGCAGCCCGCAACACAGAGGCAGGGACACGGCGACCAACCTTCTCACGTCTTTATTTGAAAGGCACAGCTAAGCCCACCCTCGAGACAGCGTATTCACTTCTCTCTCGGAGTTCAAACGACTGAACACAACAAAAGCTGACAGTCTAAAAGGCTATATACAGACACAGGTGTGGGTGTTGCTTTTTTTCAAACATTTTTCTGTCTTTTTTTTTAATATCCCCTTTCTTAAAAGACAAGCTAGTATACTGGGAAAAGGAAAAAAAAATAAAATAAAAACCAAGACAACTCGAGTACCCTCATCTTTATTCGGGAAAGGGAGGAGGAGGATGTTGGGCCGCCCACCCCCACCCTGCTCATCCCGGCTAAGCTTGAGTCCCTCGCTGAGCGAGGACAGAGGACCAGGTGGGCGTGGGTGTCTGGAGCTACAAGAGGCGGGGAGTGGGCAGGGTGGAGGGGCAGACGGGGGGTGCCCGGGGCAGGAAGGGGCAGCTAGCATTGTGTTTGCATGCAGTGCCAGGGTGGGAGGCTGGGAGGTGCCCTGAGGGGGCTCCCCCCAGCAGGCGGACTGTCAGTTACGCGTGTGTGAGACGGGGAAGTGCAGGGGTGCTGGACTTTGAGGATTTGCTCCCTTCTGACCTGGCCTCCCGCTCACGCCTCCAGGCCTCAGCTTGCCTCGTCTGTGCGAGCAGGTGTTCACCCACTCGGGCTGCGGGGGGGGCGCGGTGGGGTGGCGGGCAGGAGGAGGGAGGCCGGGAGCCTGAGCGGATCTAGGGGGTGGCACAGAAGCGGGGGCTGAGGCCCCAGCAGGCGCCACCATAAATACTACCGGAGTCTAGCCAATCCCGAGCTATGCTGTCTCGCTCTGTGTGTCTGTCTCCCCTCGTCCCCCCACCCTCCCAGCCCGGCCACCCGCTAATCCGACTTCTCGCCGTCGTCCTCCTGGTGGGTGTCTCCATCGTGCCCATTCTTGTCTTCCTTGGAGAGGTGGGCCTGGGAGCCCAGCGCCGACAGAGAGAGGAGGCCGGCGCCCGCGCTGACCGCCGGCAGCGAAGGCGGCTGGAGCCCCACGGGCAGTGGGGTCAGGGGCAGGGCCAGAGCCTGCAGCTGAGACAGCTGGTGGGCTTGGAGCTGCTGCTGCAGGCCAGAGGGAGGGGCGCGTGAGCTGCCTCAGGCCCACTCGCCGCCCGCCCACCGTCCCACCCACCGCACACCCCAGACCCCAGACTTACTCGGATGATGGAGTTTAGCTCAGGAGCCGTGACCTGCTTAGCCCTCTCGATGGCTCCCAAGACCTGCTGCTGGTGCTGAAAGGAGAGAGGACAGGGTTACGTCACAGCGCCCGGGAGAAGCCCCACCCCCATCCGGCCTGCCAGCGCTGCCCCCAGCCCCCAGGGTCTGCTTCCTGTCACCAAGCCTCAGTCTCTTCATCTGGAGAATGGGGACAGATCGAGATGCACAGAAGACCTAAAGGGGTTGGGGGCCGGATGCTTGGGAAAAGGCCTTTGGGTGAGTCAGAGAGAAATCCAGGATCGTGACCCAGCCGATGCCACGTGCAAAGGAAAGGGCAGTGCACGACAGGGCCACCTGCCAACTGTGCAGGGAAGGGCTGATGACTCGAGAGCTCAGAGACTGCGCTGTGAGAGCCGCTGGTCCACGTCCCTGTCCTTGCACAGCTGGGGGAGGCCCAGGGAACTCTGGCAGGGCTGGAATACGGGTCCAGGCTCAGGGCCTATGTCCCACCTTCCCCCAGCGCCCCCTGAGAGTCAGGCTCTCCGGCCATCAGATGCTACAATCTGCCATCTCCCTTTTTGCCTTGGCTACTGGGAAGCCCGTCATGAAGATGAGCACGAGTCTAGGCCCGCGGGGCCCCTGGAACACTCTTCTCTGGGGCTTTCGGGGTGTCCTTCTGGAATAGTCCTTAGGCACGCTTATCACCCAAAGGATCTCAAGATATGGGTGGGGATTAAAGAGGAAACGATGAATCACCACCAGTAAACCTGGCAGACTGCAGGAGCTGGGTTTTACACAGCCTGGTGGGGTGCAGGTGTGGGGTGCGTGTGGAGCGGGCCTCACACCAAGAGCCCGAGAACCCGAAAAAGCAGAAAAGGAAGAGCCCTGGGTGTGTGCATGTATCCACACGTGTATCGGGACACACGTGTCTGCATGTTTGCACAAACGTGTCCGCGTGTGTACATGTGCACAGTGAGTCTGTGTGTTGCATCTGCGTTTATCCGTGTCTGTACGTCTCTGTATGTGTGCGCAGTGCCCTCCGCACACACCCGCTTGTCCCTGTCACAGGTGAATCCCAGGAAGGGAAAGGCGAAAGCAAAACAAAATTCTTGGTGTGCCCTTGGCAGAGCTGACACTTCTAAGGCGAATGACTCAAGCGGGCCGGGAATTCCACAGCAGGGTGACGCCACCCCCCTCCACTGGCCCGCACCCCTGAGGTCCTCCAGCCTGGGGACTCTTCTGCACAGGCTGGTAGTAGCCGTGCAGTCCAGAGAGGGGAGGTGTGTGCCTTGGGGTGGCCAGCCCGCTGCTGCCCCAGATGGCTGCAGTGGGGAGGGCCAGGGACAAGTTCATGGTCCATCTACCTCCCGCCCACCACCCCGCTCCCGCCCCACATGGCTCACCTCTTGGGAAAGGTAGGGGAGGACCTGGGCACAGATCCCATTCAGCCTCTTGACGATTTCAGCCTAGAACAAACACAGGGGGACAGGTGCAGACCAGCCCAGGAGGCCTGGGGCTCTAAGAGGGGCCAACTCAGCCAGGGTGGGGTCTACACACGGGGCCCGCAGGCACCCGATCAATGGCAAGGTGGGACCGGCACAGGCCCGCATGCGGACTGGGCCGCTGGGGGTCGAGGTGGCCCTGGGAAGACGATGCCCAGCGCCTGGTAGGTACTGAGCACTCCAGGGTGGGCGGCTGGGTGGGGGCGCTGGCATTATTCTGTGACGTCCAGAGACTGGCCTCCCTAGGGCTCAGGCGGCAGGAGGGCAAGGGGGCAATCTGAGGGCTGTACCGCGTGTGGGCTCACGTCACTCTCTTGCCACTGTCACAAAGGGCAGGCAATGGGGTGGGGGTGGCAGATCCCGGGGAAGGCCTCTGCCCATCCCCCTCAGGCAGAACCACCTCCCAGGGAGGCCCGAGAAAGAATGGCAATGGGGGAGCTCGGGAGGAACGAGATCACAGGGCGGACTTGGTGTTCAGCCAAGGGGCGGGCTCCTACCTGCCTGGGGTGCCGGGGGAGCGGGCGGGGGCGTACCTGCCTGGGGTGCTGGGGGAGCGGGCGGGGGGGGGCGTACCTGCTTGTGCATCTCAATGTTCAAGCCATAAGACATCTCGTAGTACTGTGTGGGGGGGAGAGAAATGGGGGCGGGTGAAGCGTGGGGGGCTCAGGAGACAAAGGGGGAGGCAGAAGGGAGGAAAAGCGAGAGACGGGAACAGAGGGTGATGCAGACAGACAGGTGGGAGGGAGACAGGAGGGGTGAGACACCCCCGCCAGGAACAGAGGCCCAGGTGCCCGGTGGGGCTGCTGGGGAGCTGGGGGAGCTCTAGGCCCCATTCCTTGGCTTCTGGAATCATTATCAGAGCCCCACTGCTCCCCTAATATACACACATTCCAGGGCTCCTAATCTTTTATCTTTATGTGTCTTGTCTGCGGGTGGCCCCAGACTCCAGGGAAGTTTGCCTTCCTGGGTATAAATAATGGAAGATAAACAAAGCCTGCTGGGTTTGGCTTTGGGGCCAGCAGCACCCCCACTCCATGCCCCAGATCTGACCCTGCCCCCACTCCTGGTCTAAGCTCTCTCATAGCTCCCCATCACCCCCCACTCCAGAAAGCCCGGTGGTCCCCAGGCCTTTGCTTGGTCTCCCCAACCCCCCGCCCCCTGCCTCTGCCCGGCCAGCTCCTACTCATTCTTCAAGACCCCAGGTGCAATGCCCCATTCTCCATGCCGCCTCCCTCAGGCAATGGCTCCCCTCTGGAGCCCCCCAATCCCCGTGGGGTCCCCCACTCCCCAGCCCCCTCCGTCAGGGGCTGGGAGCTTTGGTGTCTGGCTCTGCCTCCCCTAAAGCCTCAGAGAGCAGAGGGCGAGGGGCTGGGCCAAGGCAGGGGTTTTTTGATGTATGAAACCGAACAAGTGGATGGGCAGACTCTGGCACAGTGGATGGGCAGGGTCTCAAATGTCAGGCTGAAGAATGCCCTGTCACCCCTCCCTCCCACCTACTTCAAAGGGTGTCAGCCTCCTGCCAGCCCCCCACCCCCCCCACCGCCCCACCGTGTTCTTCCCACAGCCCGGGCGAGGAGGGGTTAAGTACTGGGATGCCAGGGCCCGTGGGGGCGGGGAGGGATCCGGCTGCTCCCCAACGTCAGTTCCTGGCTCCTGGCTTCCACAGCCGCTGCCTCCTCTGCTGGCTGCCAAGGACAGCCAGGGGACCTGGCAAGCCCAGGCTGCAACCCGGTGGTTTGGCACCTCCGCCACCGCCTGGGCTGGCAGCCAGGCCAGCAAGGCAGACCCTGCATCCTCACACTTCCCAGAGGGGGTGGCCGGGGTTTGGGTGGCAGCTGCCCGTAGCAGAGGAGGGTCTGGGGTCCCCCCATCCCCACCCGTTGGACCCTAGGTCGGCTCACCATCACATAATGACGCTGCATCTCCGACTTCTCGCTGGCCAGCTTGTCACATTCGAGCTTCAGGCTGAAGAACAAGAGGAGAAGGGGCAGAGACTGGGCTGAGCCCCCAACTTTGACAGGGGACAGACAGGCCCTCCTCGGTGAAGATGGGGTGGGGGGGGCCTCAGGCTCCCTAACTATAAGACAGGGATTATGAACTAGCCTTGCAAACCTGGAGGTGGAGAAAACAGCGATAATAATAATAAAAACAAGTCAGGGCAAACGCCCTGACTCTGGGTCGGCCGGGGTTTCAAAGAACCTCTCCCCCATCTCGAAACCCAATGAGGTCAGTGCTCTGAGCAGCGCTCGCTTTACAGATGACGCGATGGATGGACGCCCAGAGAGGTTCAGGAACTGGCTCAAGGTCACACAGCCAGGGAGCTGGCTTCAGAGCCACACTCTCAACCACTGGGGAAGACTCTCCGAGGGGGGACAAACAGAAATAGAGGGGCCAGGGGGCGGCGACGGGGGTGCTAGCTGGGCTCTGGCTGGGACTCACCGGGTGTCTCCAAGGCAGCGGCCCAGCCCCTCTCGTGGGCCTTGATTTCATTAGAGGGGAAAGTTCCACCATTGGGGAACTGAGACGGGCACCCCCTGGCCTCTCAGGCACCCCCAGCAAGTCAGTCACAAAGCCGCCCTCCCCACCCCGCGCCCCATGATGGTGTCAGGTAGAGAGCCGACAGCACAGACTCAAGCCAGACGCACTGGGTTCAAGGTTCGGCCCTGCCACTTCAATGCCGTGGCCTTGAGCCGACCCTTCTCCGTTGGCGTACAGTCAGCAAGCACCCAACGGACGCTTGATCTCATGGCCACCCCAGAAGCCTGGCGTTCCGCTCTGCTGACCACCCACACCTGCACACCCCAGTTCAGGGATGAATCGCAGCTGGGCTTGCTGTGGCCCCCTGAATTTTTCTAGTTCTTTTTTAAAAATGCATATCTGTCGTCACCATGAAAAAGAACTGACGGGCAATTTCATCCCGAGCTCTGGCTTCATGGTCCTTCTTGGGCCTGGCAGGTCCTGCGTGCTAAAACAGTAGGACCCCTCATTGTATAGCGGGGAGCCCACGCCTGGCAAATGGAGACCCCAAGCTCAGCGAGGGGGTCCGGCTCACTGAGCACTGTCGCAGTACTGACCCTCGGCCTCAGGGACTGGCTGTCCCAGTGCTCACCAAGTGTAATGGGCCAGGCAGGGAGGGGAGGGTCCCCGCAGGGGCTCGGAAAGGCCAGCCTGCTGGACAAAGCCCCTCACCCCACCACATCGGGAGCAGGACAAAGTCCCGGCCTGCCCCGCGGCCATCGGTGCCCCTGTCTCGGAAATGGGCACAATAGGACAGCAAGGAAGATTAAGCCAAAGGGATGTATGTTCAGAATTTCATATTTGGGGAGCATGGGAAGTATTCTGAGACATGGACGTTTGTAAAAAGAAAGGAAGAAAAAGATACATATTACTATTCCCTTTTTCTTCTTGGAGAAAACGCAGGACTTTTGTGTGTGGGTAAACTCAGGTCCACAGAGGACCCAAGACCTCACTGAAACTGGTGGCCCGTGACCTTCCTCTGATTCTCAGGCAGAGCCCCCCTTCCCAGCAGAGACGCTGGGAATGGGCATCATTTAACCCAGAAACTGGGTGCAAATCTCGGCT